CGGCCGCTCTCTCATTAACTCCGGACGCCGCCAGAGCCGCATCCGTGCAGCCGAACACGACTGCTGTAACCGCCGCGCGTTCCTTCCGACCGATCGTTCTCTTCGATCTTACACGCCCTCCCTTATCGCGTGTGTGCGCGCGCGCGCGCGCGCGCCACAGTCGTACCATCCAGAGTTCCCCAATGTCCCCAGACTTTCGGCAACCCTCTCTGTGTCCTCGATTCTCGCGTCGCCGTTCTCTCTGCGATTTTTCTCAGAGAGGAGATATTCCTACCTACCACCACCACCCACCGTTTACGACTCTTCCCCTCTGGCCCTTTACGTTCCAGCCAAAGTGCCGGCACGGAAACGCTTTCCTGGAAAATCGCTAGACCGAGTCGTTTTGTTCGACAACCATTCCTCCATCTTCTCGAGAAACCTAAGCCGCAGAGAGGACCGCGACGACGACGAGGACGAGTGGAGAATGACGGAGCAAGATTTTTCGTGATCTCGGTTAGGCAGGTGCTGATTTGAGGAGGGTCGCGTTAGACCGGACAGTGATTTCGAAACGATCGTCCTCTCCAAACTGCCGTGTCATTAAAGCGTGGTCGATCGACCGAATATAACGCGTCGAGAATTTGCTTCTATCCACCCTTGCTGCCCAAAGAGACACGTCAACCTGCCCTCACGAGTTCCAACGTCTTCGATCTTGACGTTTTACGAAAAATTTCCAAACGCTCGGAACACACCCATCTACTATTCTCGGAAGCGCGTCGAAGATCACGTCGAACGCATTAGCAGAGAAGAAGGACTTTCCGGTTGAGCCTGGACACGCCTCCGATTTGCACGTGATTACCGGCGTGGCGTGGCGCGGCGCGGCGTGGCGCGGCGTGGCGTGGCGCGGCGTGGAGTGGCGCGGCGTGGCGAGGCACGGTGGAACGAACGTTTGTCTCGAGAGAACGAGAAAGGCTGTCAGGTAGAGGTGTACGTTTCACGAGACAGAAATTTCCACGCTTTTTCCCCCGTTTCGGCGGGGCAAAGCAGCACCCCTTCGATCGGTCCATCCGAAAATCTGGAGCACCGACGGTAACCTCGAACCGCCTATCTCGATATCGATAATGACTTTTTTAATTAAGCCGGCGCCGTTTTACCAGTCCTAAACTCTTTTAATTATTACTCCATTACGAGCGAACAAAATATTTAATCGCATCGGTTGCACGATCGGCCGCCGGAGCAGGTGTTCCGCAGACGGTGCGATCCCAGACATTATAGCCCGGGTAAATGCGTTCGAGGCTCGATATCGCTTTCGATTCGCGAAAACACGTATGTCCGGCGCGGCGGAGCGCGGCGGAGCGCGCGATCGGCGAGAAGACGACTTTATTGGGTAGCCGTTATCGATTCTCCGGCGTACACGTTCGCGCGCGCCCGTTCCGACGCATATGTTTACACGCACTGGCCACAGCTATCCTATACGGAGGCCGGATATTTGCATAAAACCTTGAAGTGCGATCCGGATATCGCCCGGTCCGGCCCGGCATTAACGATTTAGTGGGCGTATTTGCACCCAAGTAGCCACCGTTCTCGCACTCGTTAATCCAAGTGAAGCGAGCCGAAATGTTTTCTCGTCGATTATCAAATTGGAAAGTAGGTAGGTCGAATATCGAGAGGAAAGAGAAGGGCAATTGCAATTAATCGAGACCGTCTGTTTGCCGACGAACGTAAAGACTGATAACGAGGTGGCGTCCATCTGCCAAGATTAATGGTAACGCGAGATATTGGAACGTTACATTGTCGCTGTTAACGATAATCCTTTGACGCGGTGAAAAAATTCCTTTCTGTCACGCGTGTACCGCCCCGGTCGTAAACGCGGCGAGAAGAGCGAGCGAGAGCAGGTGCGTCGTCATTCATGTAGATAGATGATCGCGGATAACTTGGAATCGAGCGTCGCCGTGCACGCTTACTCGGGATCAAACGTGCCTCTCCTTCGACATTTAGCGTTGTATAAATTTCCACTTTTAACGAGATCTAAAAGATTGCGCGATAATTCGGTCGGCGCTATGATTAAGGTGCCGACGTTATAATGGCGCGTAATGATCGCTCAGACCTCTGCACGTCACGCTCGCTCTCTCCGAACCGAGCCAACTGCGGTTCGCGGCGAAACGCGGAGCACCGCGGCCCCAAATATGTCCGTGCGGTGTATAGACGCGGCGAATTGCCAAAGAAAACTACGACACGTCCAAGTGGTGCGTGTCTTCTCTACCTACCGATCGAAATCCGTCAGCCTCGAAGAGTCTCGGAAACCTTTCGCGAACGGGTTGCTGTCGATCTTCAGCTTGGTTATCTGCAACATTATCGGTTGCGGCTAGGTAATTACGCTTTCGCAACGCTAATAATAATCATAATCGTAATAATAATAATGATAATAATAGTTGGAAGGAGAAGAAGAAGAAAGCTACTCACCAACTGATTTTGATAGGCAGTAACCGCGGTGAAAATAGCCTCGGGGAATATGAACGTTTTGTGCTCCTCCTTCTGAAGGTCGGTTATGTGAAGATTGTTGTCGTCGGTTTGCCGACACCGAACCAAATGTATCCTCGGCTGATATCTGTGCATCGAGTTCAGTACGATCTGAAAATAGAAGAGGAAGACGCTCACAGCGAGGGATCGCGCGCGCCGATGATTTATAAAGTCTTAATTAAAGTCTGGGAAATAACTGGAAGCGTGGTATAAATCCTGTTCGCGTTTCGAACGTTAACAGGCGACGACGGCCGGTAGGTAAGTTTTATAAGCGGTCACGCGTCATCTTTCCCGCCACTTATCTAATAATCGATAACGGGACGAAAATAATATCGCGCGAATCGCAGGACGCATATCCCAGGGAGACGCGCAATTTCCATTTACTAATCGTCCTCGCCGCTTTGCAACAGGTACTTGGAGGTAATTCCGACGAATAAATCAACCGAGAGAGTATCGTCGATGAGAGTCGAGAGTCGAGAGTCGCGAGACGCGACGCGACGACCAAATTTCCCTCCGTCCAGACGAGAAACGCGTTAACGGTACCTACTTACTTGCGCGCCCCATCTTTATATAATATTATACAACCGCACACACCTTGTAATTTTCCAACTTTCAACCGCTACGTCTGTTATTTCTGTGTGTCGAGCTTTAACCGTCCACCCGATGTTCCGTAGTCGATGGAACGGTACAAGTTGCGTATCGATTTCCTGTCTGAAACAATGTGCCACGATGACACAAGTTTCTCGCGTAGATATCGCGTAACGCGCTCACCCCTGTCAAATGCTCCGGATACTTGGACGTACCTCGGAACCTTTGCCGTTCCTCGACACAATTCCCGCTATTCGTGCAAACTCGAATTTTACACGTAGACCGTCAACTCACCTGGACACTTTTTCCCTTCGTCTCGTTCAATCGATAGTTTCGCGGTCGCCAACTCCAATCTCTACGCTCGCACTTTTTGCCCCCCTACTTCTCTCGGTCGTGCAACAAAGAACGCAACGCGGCCACCATTTTCCTCCGAGCTGTCACCGAACAATAGCTACCGATCGCACTGCCATCTATTCGACGACTGCTTATAAACACCATCTTCGAAACTGATTGACAGTTTCGGAGAAGGCTGTCCCGTGTCGTTCTTTCTTCGGTGCTTATTAATTAAGAGCGAAACATCGTTGGGAAAGTTACGACGTCGTGCGTCCTCGGGAATGCGTTATTAAACGGGATTTTTATTAGCGACAAGATTATCGCTGAAAATATATCTCGGATATCTGGGACTGGGATCGCGCGTTACACGCGCCGCCAGGCATTCCCCGACACGAATATACTAGCGAGAATCGCCGGTGCTGCCGGCTGGTCGAATCGGCGGTGAGCGAAACGCGTCGTTATCGCGTCGTTCGATAATTAACTAAACGTCTTAATTTTTTGTTGCCGCTCGAGAGTGAGGAGCGAGCCAGCCGGCTGGCTCGTTCAATCGAGCAGCAGTACATACTACTTACTTAGAGTGCGACTCGGTCACTCGCGATACACGCTAATGCGACATCAACGCCATTGTCTAAGATCTCGAACGCGTAGTATCCCAACTACGACCGTCTACACTCTTACGCGTACGCTGTTCCGATAAATCGAAATTATCGCGGTAAATAGCGGTTGCTATACACACGAGCTATGCGCTAATCGCGCACGAGTCGAGAAACCGAATCCAATCCACTCTCATCGTCGAACGCACGCAATTTGCATCTAGCGATTTATCAAACAACGCGGCATCCATGTAATGTACGTTGATAGCAGTATTACACGTGCGATTTATAGTCGTTTTTCTCTCCTTCCAACGGTCTACGCTCGACCGCGATACCCGTGGACAGGACCGATCGCTGTCCGTCCAGAACCAACCTCCTCTCTTCTCCAAATGTCCTCGAAATGTTTCCTTACTTAATCTTGCTCGTAATTTATTTTTACAACGCGCCACACTCTACCGTGAAATTACGTTTCCTTCTCTTTCGTAACGCTCCTTTGCGTGATTATTTATTCCTACCGTTATCGATATCTTTTCGCCTCGCATCAGCCTCCTCGCCGCCTTTCGCAAACATCCCGTTAAAAAAAGGGGGGAAAAAGAAACTGCTCTTCTCCGCGGAATATGTACACCGGTACGTGTTTGACGTCGTGTCGTCTGGTGTCGCGCGATGGTGCAAGGACAAAGTTGAAACGAGCAGCGCGGTATTATATTCTCGATATCGCACCGCACCATGTCCTTCGGGTGCAAGATTGTTCGGAAGAAAAAGGAGAAGGTCTCGAATTTAATTCGAGTCCGGATAACGAGTGCGCGTGGACCGGACCGTAGGTTTCCAAGCGGGCAACTTTATGCCCGTACGATTATAGGTGTCTGGGATCCCGGGGTGCCCCTATCCGTTTTCTCTGCACCGTTGGATGGTGGGACACCCCACTGCAACCTGTCAGAACTCCAATTTGCTCTACTCTGTTCAGCCGGCTAGTGTGGATGCCACCGCATATCCTACGATTTACTCGTAACCGCGACCCGCCGCCAGATTCACGACATCCTTTTTCCATACCACCTTTTATTCCCATTATCTCCGCTCAACTATTTTTACGAATCTCCCTCTCCTCCTCCTAGCTACACTAGCAATCTGCCACCGATCTATACCGATTAGCTTTCGCGTTTTCGCTACGACACACCCCGTGTACGTATGTATGTATATTCGTGTTAAATAATGCACGCGAATGCACGCCCGTGTGTGCAGCAGGACACGGATAAAATAGCGCATCTGCGTAACTTTTTGTTTGATTCATCAACCCTTCCTGTCGCCCGGACTCGCTCGAATATTTCTACAGGAAGCCGAGACACGAAACTTAATACTTGGCGTCAGGCTAAAGGACATTCCACGCGCGATCGTGAGAACAGTCATTTTCCACCAGAGGCGCGGTTCGTTTTTCGCTCCATTTTATATCTCACTTCGTTCCAGTCGTGAAAACTGTCAATCACGATTTCCACAGAAACTTCCTCTAATCTCCGGAGTTCGCTCTCCGACGATTTTCATCGATTTCAATTCCAATTGAATATTCGCCATCTCCCTGTTCGATGCATCGTAAATCATTTTTAATCTGGATATTATGGCTGACTAAAGACGCCTCCTGGCATCCTCGCTGTTACAAGCGCGCCACCTTAAGAAATTATTAATATCCTTTTATGCCTGTTCGCTTTTCCTGTTGGCGCGCGCTCGACCACACCAAGCAGATACATACATATATGTATTTCACAGCTAGCACAACTTTTTCGTCGCGATCCTCGGATCGTGGTCGCCCCAAAAAGCTACGCTGCTCGACGTAATTTAGATTTAAACGGGAGAAAAATATTTGCGGATCGTGGTGAGAGGAGAGGCGAGCGCATCCGGTGAGAGAGTCGCGGGAGACGAGCGCGAGAAACGCGCCTCCCCGCAGGTATCGTAGAAGAGGACTCGTCGTCGCAGGTGGATGCTTGCTTTTGGACCACCGTGTAGTAGCCAGCACGCAGGCGGGGGTCTTATAATATCGCGTCATACGAAACGATGAAATAGTGGCCGTAGCGAAGGAATGTTCCCTACCACTTGAGTCGTCGAGTTGAGTTGACTGGCGCGTTGCGTGGCTCTCCCGGCTCTCCCGGCTCGGCTTCGCTCGCCACGGCGACTGCTTTTAACCGATGTGTGTGCGTGCCTGCCTGCGTACGTGTCTGCTCCCCGGCACTCGACTGCCTAGCTTTTTCTCCTTCCCTCGGCCCTTCCTTTCCTTCTTTCACCCCGCTTCCACCCGGCCTTACTCCTCTTTACTCTTTACACGTACGTGTATATACGCCGCCTACTTCTACAAGCGTTCCCCGCTTCTACGCTAAAAAAAATGTATTTCTCGAGATGCGCGTATCGTAACAAAGTTGCACCGTCGAGTGTCGTGTCGTCGAATCGTTTCCAAGGAATTCGGTCGTGCACGCCTGTGGTTCGAGTAGCTGTAGTTTGTAGGAACGGCGCGAGATGCGTTGTCCGTGGTAACGAACGTCTAATTAGGCTAGGTCGAAAAGCGTGTACCTCCGTCCGGTGTGCAACAGTGCTCGCCGTTCCGAGGAGGAAACATAGTCGAGCAGCTTTCGCGCGAGCCTTGTAAACGTCGAAGCGGTGATATCGCGGAAAGGTAAAGAGAAATGGAACGGAATGGAGGAAGGCAAGGCGAATAAGCGAAGGCACTATAAAGGGACGCGGAGGAAAGAAAGAGCGCGAGCGTGGTTCTCGAGGCGGAAAGGGTGCGCGAGAGACGGGAACAAGCTGTGGAGAGAGATTCAAAAGGTGCTCAACGGGCCAGGCGTGGGCTACTCGTGATCATCATGACAAAAGCTCCGGGCAAACATCCATTCAATTTATTAGCTTATAGGTAGGCCGTCGTGCCTACTATACACACCACCTACGACACCACCACGAACCGCCTATAATGCTCGTAACATTATGGCCAGTTCGCGAGTGGACGGGGTTCGCGAGACCCTCGTCTGCTGCTGCTGCTGCTGCTGCTGCTGCTGCTGCTGCTGCTGCCTCATTCGCCTCTACTCCACGCTCCATCTACGCTCCTCTTTTCCCGCGTTACTCTCTTTTCGCCATACAGTTACACTTTTTACGACGTTAACTTCCTACGGCTGCGGTATTTCAGCGACGTTTCCATTGCGGAGAATCTGCTTTCACGGGAACCGCTTCCGACGGTTGAGGTGCGCGCGCGCGCGCGCGAAAAACACCGTGACACCGTTAACGAATTCACACGCGAGCGTAATTAAGCGGTAAAGCGAGACCGAGGAGAGAAAAGGGAAAACGGGACTGACTGGGTAGAAAAGGTTTAGCACGCACGCGGAAAGCGACGACGAGGGCGACGATGAGGACGACGATGACGAGAACGACGACGCGGACGATGGAATATTACGTTTCACGGGCTGGCAGCTTCGACGCCCACGATTAACGAGCGGTGTTGATGATAACGCCACGCCTACGTCCACCGGTAACGTCGCGTATCCGTTTTACGAGGCCATTTTCGGTGCGCGCGAACGTCCGAAATCTCGTCAACGACGTCTTCGATGCCTCGAAGCAGGGCGAAACTGCGCGATTTCACCGGTGAAAAATGACACTGTAATCCGTGAGCATTGTCGACGTCGTTGGCACCGGTCGTTCGTTAAATCGGCCGCCTTATTTTCGAGCAACTTACGCTCCGGACGCCGAGGAACGCGCGAATGTGTGAATTTCGCGATAAATAACGCGGACATCTGGCCGTGCCGCGACCAGCGCCCAACTTTGTCCCCTCGAATCCTCTCGAATCGTATCGCGTTCAGCTAAAACATCCGTTTAGCTCGGTTCTCTCGTTCGAATTTCACAGTCGTAAAAATGCGAGAAGCGTGCCCGTCGAAACAGAGCGGCGGATTGTTCTCCCGTGATCGATATTTGACCCACATGCCAGCTTTACGAGGGAGCACGAACCACCGATTACGCGGTCGCTCGCGAAATTTCTTACCTGACCGTGCTTGTCCATGTCGTTGTTGGTCAGCTTGACCTTCTCGAACGAGACCACCTGCTTTCGTAGCTGGTCCCCGGTAAACGGCGAGTCCGGATGAACGTAGAGTCGCGCCGGCGCCGGAGGATCCGCTTTCCCCGCGACCAGCCAACAGCTTCGATGGTACGCGTACCGATATCTCTTGTTGTCCACCGGAACGATGTCCATCAGCACCGCGTACCTTCCCTCCGACTTTAATCCGCTGAACGACACCCGGCAGGTCGGGAACATCCGCCTGAAACATACATACATACATACACACTTGCGTACCACTTTTAAATCGATTTCAACTGAACTTGTCGCTCTCGTTCTCGCCTTCGTATTTTTCACCGCGAGCAGATGCTAAATTAGACGTTTAACCTGACCCACGAATAAGCTAAAGGGATCGACAGCGATTCACCGCGAGAGAAACCGAGTGGTGAGTTCTCCAGTTAGAATGCAACGTAGAGGCGCGCGTCTAACTAGTCGGTTTGATTGAAAGGAGCGCCCGCAGGCCTTTCAAGCTTCGTTACGAGCGAGTCACCCTTGAACCTCGTTATATGCAGTCAACTTTTCAACACCTCGAGCGTCGAGGCGCACGCGCCGGACAGATGCGCGTCTCCGTTGACGTCGATGCGCCCAGCCAAACCACCTCTTTTTCGCAGCTTCGAAAACCTTCCAGGGACAACTTCCGCTCGAACCAAGACTCGGGGTAATTAGCGCCGCGCCGCTCCGAATTAGCGTCGAAAGGTGTGGAAAAGAACTGGGAGAAGATGAATTCGTCCCGACGCGTCAGCAACGATCGATTCACCGAATGCCCGGGACCGTGCAATCCGCGAAATCGGACCTGCAAGAAGACCTGCCTCCAAAATGTCATGTCGATTCTAGAGGAACTTCCTCCGTGCGTTCGGGCAAGACTCTATCAGGAAGATTTCTTCTCGGACATTGTCAAAGGCGAGGAATTTCAACGTGCACCCGTTACCTCGGAAGAGTTGCCGGTGGAAGTGATACAAGAGTGTAGGCCGAAGAAGGAAATGGCAACGACGTCTCGTCGATACGACGAGGGAGAGTTACTGGCGTTGAGGTACAAGAGAGCGGACGAACAGTGCAGAGAAACGAGAGATCAAGGGACGACGCACTCGACGGAGGCGAAACACGTTCAGACCGAGAGAGATTCGCCGAGTTGCGGAGAAACTTGGAGACGTCGGTCGGTCTCTTCGGGAACCACTGGTCTTCTGGTGCGAAGTATCGCTGCACGTGGAATGCGCATATTTGGATCGATGAGAATGCAAAGGTGTTCCTGCTGTTTGATCAACACCACCGTCTACATCCTCCTTCTTCTTCTCCTGGCTGTATTCGCGAGGCACAGTCCCACCTACCAAATATTCCTCTCGAGCCAAATTTGCGGAGTACTCGCCATCTTATCCTGGAGAATCTCCGGAACGGTTCCACTCTAACGGGTGGATTCTCCGCACTCCACTCGAACCGAGCATTCTTTCCCCGCGCCGAACCGAGATAAATACAGCGTTTGCGACGCGCTAAAAGTTACAAAGAGAACAGCGACGAGATAATTATACGGCGACCGACAGCGCGACCAGCTACGATCAGGGCTTAACAACGATCACGTTGAAAGCCACGCGAATGCAACAAATCGTGCGCGCTCATTGAAAGACGGCCGATTGGTTCGAGCCTCGAGACCGCAAACGCCGTATTCGCCTCAAACTCACCGACCGCAAAGATCGATTCACGGATGAACGAGGTTTCTCGACGCCTCTTCCACCATTCCAGAGAACGAGCACGACGAAGAAACGTCGCGAGAGCAGCTATTCTCTCCTCCGATCTTGTTAGGCATCCTTTCAACGCACGATCGACGTTCGAAACGACAAAGTTTAACCTGCTACCGGGGAGAACCGACGACCAGTTCCACTTTGCCGATTTTCTTCGTCCCACGCCACTACACCCCGTAGATACCAACTCGTAGCAAACACCGATCGTGACGCCGTAATATATCATGGAGAAAATTAGCCGTAGTGGAGGGTCTTTTCCCCATGTATCCGACACGAGTGGGAATACATTGAAACGCCTATTAAGTATCGATAGTAAGTCAATCTAGTATTCCCCTGATCCTTCGTCGTCCCTATTTCTCCTCTAACCCCCTCTAATCTTCCGCTGTATCTACGCTGCGGACGAGCCTTATCTTTAAGCGAGAATCGCGACACAGACGCCGTCCGTTATTATTTAACTGAAACGGCCCCGATCGCCCCCTCGTCGAATAAATCTAGAACGAAACTACGATACGTAGAGCGAATGAGAAAATCGTAGAGAAAGGAAGAATTGTTCGACCTCTCTATCTCTGTCTCTCCATGTGCGCTGTATTTCCCTGTCAAATTAGGCAGAAACAAACAAGCCCTCCATGGGCCGTGGCTAACGAGGCCATAATCGCAGGAACACCTCGACCCCAAAGCACACCCCAACAGCGTCGAAATGTACGCGTATTACGCGCGTATACGTACATCTGGCCCGGTTCGCATTCGGGGGTAGAGAGAGAAGCGAGAAGCCATCAGCCCTGAGGACAGAACCACCGGGGCGGAAGGGCTGCTACAAATGGATTAGGGAAGCACTGGATATTATAGCGATCCGAAAGCCCATCCGAGTTACTTAAATGTTTGCCAAGCTAACGACTTCGCAACACCGCCAGGTGTTGTCCCTCGTTATAATTATGCCGTGGCTCTTTCCGCGTCGCAGCTAGCTGTGCTCGACGATTTCGACCGGTGACTCGATTGCTCGATAATTAGCTACGTTTCTCGACCTTTGCTCTCTCTCTCTTCCTCGCTTCTATTCCATACCTAAATGTATAATAACGTGAGAGAGATCTGGTATCGTTCGCACGGTATTTCTACGACTTATTCGCTCGGGTTCTCGTTGCGACCGAGAGAACAGCGGGATAACAGGGATAAATAGACGTTTACCGGCCCCTTCCCGGCCACTTTCTCCCTCTCTCGCTCTCTTACACCTTCTATCTCTCCGGTTTCTCTATCGTCTTTTCATTCCTCCGGTTGTTCCGTGTGTCGTGCTTCGCGATCCGTGCACGTTCTCGCGTAACGTGCACGTTCACCCTGCCGGTCGAGGCACGTGTGAGTGTATAATGTAGGTTGCTGGCACCTTGATGAAGGGTTCGCGTGACGAGTACCCTCTATCCGCCGGTATCCTGTCTCGCTCTCCGCTGACCTGCTCGTCCACACCTCCTATTCTGCGCGTTGCTTCGCAGTCCACGCTTACCTACTTAAACTTTGAAAAATATACAGTCGTCGCGACTGCTAGCAGCCGTTCCCTTCCTTCGTCCGACTTTCGCACTTTCGCTACCTTTGCCTTGGAACTTTACGAACCGTTGGAAAGCAACGCGACTCGGCGAAACTTTCAAAATGTTGACAGCGAGCGAGGCCCCTCGGTGTATCGAGGTTCCCCGTAAATACAAAGAAGAAGAAAAAGCAAGGGTTCGTTATCGGGTCAGATGGAACGAGGATCGGCGAAAACTGGTTGATTACACGTTTGGAGAATCAGCCGCTCTAGAAGGAGCGTCGATCTCTGCTCTCTTCTTTTCCTCGGCAATGACGTCGTTTCGACTTTGCACGCACGAAATTGGCTTTGTTCACGATATTGAAATCGAGGCCGTCTAGAGAAGGATAAGAACGCGAAGGGGGGAAGGGGACAGAGGGGAAGAAGAAGAAGAAGAAGAAGAGAGAGAGAAAGTGCAGGCTGGCGGGTGCCAACGTGGGAAAAAAGAGACCCCGTGAGCTAGTCCTCGAGGAAGAATCAGAGGAGTATATGGTCCTGGCACCCCGTAGGGCCAGACAATTCCACCTGATTGGTCCGAATTCGTATTGTCACTCGAGAGACTGACATTTTCGTTCAGCTGGGATTTCGTGCCAAGTTTCTCGTGCTAACGACGCTATTCGTGCATCGCCGCGTTCTTGATATATCGATCGTGCCCAGGAAGAACGTCAGCCCACCGACACACCCCCCGGAATTACATATTTACGAATTTTTTAAACTCGTTTGTTCGCGTTCCTTGAATTTTTCACCAGTTTCCGCTACCTAGCACGTACGCCGATTCCCCCCGGTTACTCGGCAACGTCTGCTCTCCAACGATCTGCCGGTTCGGTATGCGCCGAACTTTCGACGGTAACGCACCATCCTGCCTGCACCGTTTCGTCTCGCATCGACGAAACGTTTCGAGATTACTCGCCGTAACGAAAGCATCGCGCGCTCTGTAATTACCAGTATTCCGTAATTAGGCGACGGTACCTTTAGAAATTGAAAGCGTTTTCCGACTAGTTTTCACCAGTGTACGCGCGATTATGAATGCACGCGTGAATGGAGAAGAAAGAGAAGCGTGGGCATCGTTGGAAGGGTAGAGGAAAGGGAGTTTTACAAGGGACAGCGTTAGACGAGTGGTCCCTAGTGCGCAAACGTCTCGTAATTTCGACGTGGTCACGCATCCTTAGAGCGCGCAGCTGCGGCCTCGACTTTATTAGCATACCTATAAAAATGAACGCTCGCGCGGCGTATGCACACAGAGACAGAAATTGCCGCGATAAATTACACCTAAAACTCCCTTAAATATCTCATAAAACGTCAGTCAATGAAATCCATTAGTTCGAGTACGGAACTGTTGTTTGAGTTGTCGCAATTTGCCGCTGCCCGACGGACACTACTGCCCTATGAACCGACAGAGACAGAGACAGAGACAGAGAGAGAGCACCGTACCTTTGTTGGAAACGCTCGCGACCCGTGCTCGAGCGCGATAATTAACGACCGTCGACTGGATTCGTAGTGGCGTGACGCCGCTTAATTGCACCCGAAAAAAATGTTATTTCTCCGTTATTGGCCTGAACGCGCGTTTCGTTCGGGAGCGGCTTCGAATTTGTTCGCACGTAGTAAATCGAGGCAATTATCGAGAAGCCGTAACCCGGACGAACGAACGGAAAGCAATTTGCTCCAGCCAACTTCCCTCGAAATCGGTTCGGAAACCGTCTTCCGTTGCACCTGCGCACGCCACGCGACTTTCCTCTTCTTTCCTCGCGTTTCCCTTACCTGCCAGTTTTCGTGATGATCATCTCTGTCCCGAGGTCGTTGAATTTGTCCCACAACTCTTTCGTTTCGAGATGGCACTCGACGTCACGGAGCTCGTCGGAATTGCAACTGGTTCGAAGCCGATGCTTCCGCTCGTGTTCGCTGTAAGCGTCTTGGCACTTTCTCGACGAAGACGTGCTCAAATCGTCCGGGACACCGTGGACCGGTCCGTCGTCCACGCTGCTACACTCTTCGACGTCCACGTCCACCTCTTCGTCCTCCTCGTTGGTCGATTTTTCGGTTCCTTCGCTCTCACCTTCGCAGTTGTCCACTTCGTCGTCCGGCAACAAAGCTTCGTCGGTGACGACGGTCGCGGTTGCGACTATGTTCACCGGCGACGTCCTCGCTCCTGAAACAATATCGCGTTCGTTCGAACGTCAAGTTGGAGACAGAGGGACAGAGAGAAAGGTGATACGCGTTTCGGTAAACGAGACGCGACAAAGTTGAAAGTGAGAAATACCAGTTTCCCATCGACGCGCGATTCCCCGCGATTAAGCGTGTCGATTTAAACGAGCGAGATGAACTGAAACGATACGGAAAGCCGTGGTAGCAGGGGCGGGGGTAATTAATCGAAGCTGGCGCGCATCTGCTACGAAGGTGGCGCCTAATTAAACCGTCAGATTTCAAGAAAGCCAATCCACCGCGCCAGTGTACACAATGTTAATTGCCCCGGTCACGATACCGATCTGTTAATTTGTACTATTCCGCGCGAACAATGCGTCTTCCGGCGTCGTATCTCAAATTGGATCCGCAAGTGATACCCGTGCGTTTACGCACACTGCGGCGCACACGTGTCGCGGACGGGAAAAAAATTGCTCCTCTCGAGCAAGTATTGCCGAACATGCTTCACCGGAGAAACCCCTTTCTCCTTACCCTCTTTCTCTCCGTGTCGAACCGTGCGATCGCGATCCTTCGTAATCGAATTTCTAATAAGGAACGGTGCGACTAAGTTAAATGGATATACATATGTGGGTACCGGAAGTATCCGGGCGAGTAGTCGAGAAGGTTCGGTTGAAAAGCGGAAGTGAACCCGAGCCTCCTTTGCTCACGTCCGTAAATACCCAAAGTATTGAAAGATGGCCACCCTCGGAGCGATCGTACGCGAAGAATGATTAAGGGGATGCCGCGGAAGTCCGAGCGAACGGTTGTTCGAGCTAGAAAATACAGCGGTCGCGAAGATGAAGGAGGAATGGTTCTGGCCCGTTAAGAAAATTAGCCGGCTGATGGTCGGATCGGAAAGGCAGCGATTTAAACTTACCTTGCCTATGTATTACATATATGTATGTAGTTACCGTTCGAAAAGCATTTGGTATCGTGTCGCTCCAACTGTTTCGAATACACCTTGGAAGCGGTACGAGGGAACCTTTCCTCGGACGCGTGTGCCCAAACCGGTTTTTCCTCAAATTTTCGACGACGTATTTGACAGATATAGCGTCGACCAATTACTTTCACCGTTTCCTCCGAACGCTCCGCTTTAAACCGATTATAATAAACTGAAACTATTAGCGGCGAATTAAGATAAAATCGTGCGGCTGCATGTTTACACCGGCGCGGCGAGCAAGTATTTGATAAAATTCAACGTATCTAACGGCACAACCACTTATAGATTTTTAAGCCTGGGCGATATACGGTAGAAAGGTGGAGCGGTGAGTGAAAGGATGATACCTCAACGGGGAGGAGGAGGGAGGATGAGCGCGGATCAGCGGAAGTTTCGAGGTGGAAAGAAAAGAGGGAATTTCGGGGAAGCCGTTGAATGCGTTGGCGAGAAAAAGAAGGAAAAGGGGAAAAAGGGGGAAAAGGGGGGAGGGGGAGAAGGAGAAGAAAGAGAACGCGGCGAAGCGCGTTAAAAGCGAAGGTAAGTTAGCGACGAGCGCATCGCGTGCGTTTCTCGGTGGTTGCGTGCAATCGCATCTGCGTGCATGTACGCACTCACGCAGGCCGCGGCACTTGTCGCGCACGCATATCCCTCTCCGCCACTCTAACCCTATCGCTCTGGTTCGGGCAACACTAACAATAACGCGGTGGTTCTAAAGGCTGGCCCGAGTCCTGTAACAGACGACGAAATTCCACGATTTCCTTATTGAGCCATCGCGAGCGGGACTGGTTTCGTGAAACGCGTGTGTCGCTTCGAAACAGCCGGTCGCTCGCTCGGGGAAAGCCTGGTGTTAAAATTAACACCTCAACCGTGCGTGTTGCGTGAGCTCTCCGACCTCGACGACGTTCTTTCACGACATCACGCATTCGCGGTTTTCATCTCGAATTCCTCTTCTCCTCCCATTCTACTCTCCCCTTTGTCCGCCGAGCTCGGACATAAAGGCCGCCGTGCCGAAAATCGTCCATGTCGTTAAGGCCGCTACACCACGGCTGAAAAGTGACACGGTACGCTACCGTGCGCGCCGTCGCGCGGTTCGCGACTCTAATAGCTACGTACACGCGGTCAAATGCGGGACGCAATAACAACCTGCTACGCGTTCCAGCTGCATTAATAACGTTGTATAACGACACGCGACGGCGAGGCGTCCCGTCGATACGCCCCTAACATCTTGCGCCGGGATGAATCGCGAATATTTGACGAGGCTCGAATCTGTGGAGCGAGGCCGGAAATATCGCGGCCAGCAGCAGCAGCACCGCGAAGGGGGGAAGGAAAGAAAGAGAAGAGAGGGCGGATCCGTGGGGACAGAGGAGGAGAAGAGTGGACAGAGAGTTTTTAAGGGGATGGAAATATTTTCAGGGCACAAAAGGAGATCCGTGAGGACGCATGCCTTACCGGAAGCTTTCCGGGCAACAGAAGGAGTTGAAGCTCTCTGGCCGTAGTGTGCCAAGAGGTGGTCCCATGTTCCATGATCTTAAGGCAAGAAGAAATATGACCGAGCTACTGACGTCAGCTTCCTTTTGCCACGACCGACAGCCGACCACCCAGAATCCTGTCACCACCCAGCCGTTCGAAGGACGTTGCTCAAAAGGATCGACGGAACGAGCCGAATAACGATCGCGTTACACCAGTTGACGCGCTTCTTTCTAGATTCCTGACCTACAGTTACAGGCTGAACCACCCGATACGCCTAAATACAAGGGAGATTACGCGCCAGGCCAGACAACCGACGGTCGCCGTTAACGTTATTAATTTGTTGAAATATCCTTCGGGTAGAGCGCGCGCGCAGCTCAATCGATTTCGCGTAGCCGCCTTTACAAGCACGCTTTTCCACCATCCCATTATTAATGCAAATTTTTTTTCCCCCGTTATCCGGGAGCATTGCGAGATATAACGTATTCGCGAAACAATGATTACAGATGGTGGCAATAGCGATCCTATGAATCTAATTGCGGTTCGTATTTAATGTTTTCCACCTCGCCCACTCTATGCGGCAAAACTTGTTCCTGGGAACGATTAAGAATCTCTAGATTGCTACGGGAGCCAGTAATGGCGTCGTTAAGTGTGCTAATGTGATTACCGGCTGAAAGCACCGGCCGAGTTCCCCAAGACAAAAACAGGAGCAATTTACGCTCCCTCGTAGAAAAATCGTTCGTTCGCGAAAGGTGCGTTTTTCGTTTGAAAATTAACGCGAATCCTGCGCGCCTCCTTGGTCCACGACCAACTTAAGCTCGCTTCTTATTCTTCGGCGTCCCCTTATCTCTTCTCAGCGTCTCGTCTCTAGCTCTAGAGCAACTAGAGAATCGGGCCGAGAAACACGCGGAGCTTTTACCGCCGGGGGCAAAGATAGCCACGATCGTTAATTTCGGTGCGAACAGGTAAAATTTACGCGCCTCTGATCCGTTGGCAACAATTAGTCGCTTATTTTCTGCTCGGCAGTGGTCCCATTTCGAACGGTAATTATCATCTAACCCGCCAAATGTCTTTCTCGATCCGACACCTCGCAATTCTATTTTCACGCGCCTAATAGATCGCGAATTTGTAATTAAACGGACGGAAGGCAGTCAACGCCTCGACTAATGGATTCGCAGCGACGGCTCTGCTAAGTTGAACGTTAAACAACCGGTAATGAAAGTTTTATTACCAGAAGGAGCGCAAACAGGCGAATTATCGTCGAGTTAGCGCGTGTAAGGAGGAAAGTTTTCCAAGATTCACGCGTGCTACGCGATTATTTCGGAGTTGTCGCACGATCGTGTTTTTCTTTCGTTCGCTCGCCTCTCTTTAACAACATCGTCGTGGGTCATCGTTGACATTCAGAGCGAGGCTCGAGGCGCACACCGTCGGAAAGAAAACAGCTGCGCGGATCGGCTGGTACGAAGCAAGTTCGCCCAACTTCGAAATTCGCCATTTCCAAGAATTTCGCCCAATCAGGCAGGGCTTTTCAATTGCGTTTCGACTTCTTCTAACGATCACGCGACCGCGGAGCGACGTTACAGGACTTTGCGGGTGACGCGTTGTTCCCGCGACGTTCCAACTAGTGAAAAAAGGCAAACGGAGTCGGGGTACGCAGGAGACACGATAGGTATCTAATTGCGTAAACGTCCGAATAGGGGAAAAGCATGTAAAATTGAATAAAACTCACGGTGATCGAGGACAGAGTTGGCGACGAATGCTTTGCCAGTTGGACATTCCAAGCTGGTATTAGCGGTAGCGGCGGCGTTGCCAATGCCCTGCAGGTGGTAATGCCCGAAGGACGGACCCCTGGGCGCCATGATGGCCGCGATGCTGAAGTCCGTCGCTTTTCCCCTTTCCCCCTTTGTAGGCATCCCTTCTCGGCCGACGACACTTTGATTCCAACTTTTCCCTTCTCTTCTCTTCTCTTCGTTCCTCCTCGTTCCTCCTCGTTCCTCCTCGTTCCTCTTCGTTCCTCTTCTCCGTATCGACGACGCTCCTCTTTCTCTCTCCCTCTCTCTCTCTCTCTCTCTCTTCTCGAAACTTACTATTTAATCACCACGCTCCGTTCTCGACGATATAGATACGATACAAATCGGTACGATCACAACCCTCACTCGCGACGAGACGCGTCGAAACTCGGCTCCGTGGTCAATTGGCCGGTTGTACCAGCTGGACCTCGATACTGGCGATAACGCGACGATCAGGCACCTGCACGCTTCCCATTGACTCTGTCGGCGAAGCGAGGGAAAAACCGCGAGGTCGAAGGACGTTGGGGAAGAAACGGACGATGCACGGAGCGGTGTCGGTGTGGCGTGTAGAATGGATGGTCGGTGGCGTTGGGGCAAGAGAGGATGCTGGTCTCTCGAAAACGTACGACGAGGCGATCGGCACGGCGCGGCGCAGAACGAACGCGTCTGCGCTGCTCGACTACCCGGACTCCACTGGGCCACCGCTCCTCCTCCCACGCGCACCGCTCGCCCCACCAAGCTAAGAACGGCAACGGCGCCCGAGCCTGGCCCCGCTCGCGCGAAGCCCCGATAACGCGACGCGAGGCGACGCGAGGCGACGCGACGCGACCGAAGCGAGACAGAGAGGGAGTGACTCCCCTATTGGGCGTTACCTCGCATAGGCCTCCTCGAGCCGTCGAGGCGGTCGCGTGAACCGACGGATCGGTCACGTGACGGGCCACAGCAACGTCGGCAACCGGCGAACACAGGGCGGTGCGCACCAGAGGCGCCTCTTTCGAGGCCACGCCTCCGTTTAACCACCGACACGACCACCGCCGCCGCCGATACCTTCGACCATCGTCGCTCCCACCACCGCCTTCTCTCCCTGCCAGCTCCACCACCACCATCACCACCATCACCACCATCACCATCATCGCTAGCACCGATCGCGGAGGTATCTCGAAGCGGCGTGGCAGCGGCACGGTGGTCGCGCAACGACGAAAGAGAGATCGATCGACCCCTCGTACACCGGACGGCCGGCGTTTGTACGTATCTACGTATGTACCACGGCTGTACATACATTGGCGTAGGACGAGTCCTCTTCCTACCTTTCGCAAGCTTTCGCACCGTTACAGCTACGCGAGAAGACAGCTTAGGCCAATTAGAGGATGAAACGATAGAGCGACGAAGGCTCGTGCGATACTTTTCATCGACGGTTTTGTCCTCCATCCGACGAACAGTTTCTTAGATATTATCGTGGCTGAGTGGCAGGATGTATCGTCAGGATCGAACGAAAAGACCGGGCGGGGATTACGCCATTGACGTTGGCCCAGCCGTCGCGATGTACGTATCTACGGCGCGGTTGCTAATAGAGGCGTATTCCGTGTCGGGTCGACTTTCCAGGTAGAGCGTTGCATCGCGATCACTTGCAGATGCGAGATCACGAAACGAATCGTTCGACGTCCCTGTTGCGCTGAGAAGTCCTACGACTCGAGATTCACGCGTGGAAACAATAAGATACGCGTGCAGTGCGAAGGAATAAAGGGAGAGGGGGGGGGGTAATGCTGGCAATAAAGACGGTTAGAGACATCTCCTCGATGTATCGCGATCGATCAAACGTCAAAGGATACGGGGGTTTTTCTCGAAGGAGGTGGAGAGCGCGTACGATCGCGGTTTCACCTTATTGGCTGGATGTTGGAGAGCACCGAGGGGAGATTTACGGCGTGTGTTTAGGCACTTAGCCGGTCTACCTAGCCCCCCTTTATTATACTAATTTCTCGGGCATGTCAAAATACCTATCGTGTACCGGCCTCCTGAATTCTATTCGACACGCTGGGTGCCCCCGTAGTCGACCGCATAAAAGATCCCATCCCGTATAAAATATGAAGACCCGTCTCTCTCTCTCTCTCTCTCCTCCTCTCCTTCTTCCTCCTCTTCTTCAGGTAGCTGAAAAGACGACGCGGCATGCTCGTCGAGGAGTCTCTTTCGAACCACAGGAACGAGCTGTCCTGGACCCCCCGTTTGCTTTGGCATTCGAATGTTTTTAAGGCGGTTGCGGATGCTCCGAGGTGTCACCGTCGCCTTTCAAATTCGTCACCCGTGGTGAAACTCGCCATTTAACAGGCTACGACTGTATCCACTTAACTGGGTTTCTCGTGTACGTAGTTACCTCCGAGAGGGTCGAAATTTCCTCGGAGTTGGAGCGCATATACCTGCGGTTACGATCGGTCCAACGTCTCAACTACGAATCGAAGCTTCTCCGTTCTTTCAAAAAACCGAGGGAAAAACAAATGTAAAAGAAGAGGATAAAGTCGCGAATGAAAGGAAAGGAGAAGAAGCGAGATGGGTGCGATGCAACGGAGATGTACACGAAAGTCATTCATC